ATATATATATATATATATATTTACATTAACTAAGCGCTACAAGACTAACCAATCATAATCGAGAAAACTAAATTCAAGTTCAGACAGCTATGTATTACAAATAGTTAAATAACCATTACAAATATATATATATATGGACTAACCGGTGAGGCAAAACACACAAAAACGTTTCATTTGTCTACTCTTTCATTAAGCATACTCATATCTGATACAAACCCACCAAAGAGAAGAAGAGGAAAAAAAAACCAAACATACCAAATTTGATCTACAAACCTATACCAATATATAGTTCTTGACATTTTGATCATACCTCCCCCCTCATTGAAAGGCAAAATCAATCTTCGTCATAGCCCGTTTGGGTTTGATCTCGATCGCCTTTTTCTTGATAACGTCATGTACAATCCAACCAACGAAAGAATTAAGAATGATATGAGTCGATCTCGAGATGATCAGAAAGCGGTTAAAGAGGATCACAGTAGATGGCCTGGTGCAGAATTGTTGGAGGAGAAGCCGGGAAGGTCGGTGTTCCAAGAGTTGTTGCTTCCAACCCATGGAGGGTATTGATCATTCGTCGAATTTATGTTAATGCTCGCCAATAGGTTCCTCGACAAGTTATCCACACCGTTCTGATGATTGCTCTCTCCCGCTCTCACGTCGTCTGACTGTGTTTCCCCGCCTGGATTCATATCCATCAATGGCTTAGATCTTAGCTGATTCGTGTAACCGGTCTCTTGCTCTTGATTAATTCCTTCGTTACGTTCGAGTAATGGATACAAAACACTTGAAGATTGTTCCAGTACTGTCCCTGTCATATTGTTGATCAACAAAGGGAATTGTTGAGCTTGTTGCAGCGACAGTCTCCATGGATCCAACAAGCCACCGCTTGATGAACTCCCGGTTATTGCGTTACTCAGCTGAATTTCTATTGATTCCTTTTAATGTTGTTACCATTGTTTATCTGTAGCTACAAACTCATCTTCCAAAAACTCTCTATATCCATTTTCAGAGAAACGTTTGTGAACTAAAAACCAAAGTCATGAACTTTTCAATTTCAATCTTAGTTCAAAGTTCAGAGAGATCGAACATAACTCAGGTAAGACATTCCAGAATAGACAAATTCAAACATGAAAAATTCAAGGATAACATAAAATATTTGACAGAGAAGAATCAATTACAGAAAATTGAGGAATGGTTCTGATTACCTTTTGAAAAATCATGGGTTACAGGGAGAATTTCACTATTTTTGAAGCGGACCAAGCAATTGGACGCTGGAGAAACTCTTTTCGAGCGACCAAACCCACTTTCGCTTCCTATCTTCGTTCAATTTCGCAATCTCCATAGACAATTTTTTTTATATATATAAAAATTTAATTTAAATACATACAAAGAACCATAAAATCACATAGATAAATTAATTAACAAATTTAGATAAATGATAAGAGAATCAATATAAATATTTATCAAAATTTAAAAAGTAGTTGAACCGAACCAATTTCAATGTAGAAAAATTTGGTGAATACAATACAATGATTGAATGCATGTATCTTTATTTTTAATTAAAAATAGGTATATTAAAAACTCACTTTTACCCAAAAAACAAAAAATATTAAAAACCTATTGAAGAAAGCATCGTCTATTTTTTTAAAAATAATAATATATTTAATAAATGCAAAAATATAATTAGGAAAATTAAATATATATGGTTATTAGATATATGAACATCTGTATATAAATGTGTATATACAACAAAAATCTTTTATATTTTAATAGGAATTTTTAAATTAAATTAATGCATTAAATAGAGAGTCTATTTTGAAATAAAAAAAATTATTAAGTGTATGAAAAACAAACGTTTTCTCGACACAGGCAAATTATATGCATGCACGGCAAAATTTGAAACCAAATCCGCATAGAAACTTTTAAATACTAAAATACCGTTCAAGTATATTTTATATTTAAAAAGGGTACCCTTCAAATTATATATATAAACTTTTCCGTGTGGACCTACATCAATTTCTGTTTTATTTTTTTTATCATATTTTTCTTTTTCTTTTTGCAAATGTTTCTGCTCTCCAAAGTTGAGAATAATAAACTCTTTTGGACCACTTTGTAAAACACACAATAATATTTCAAAAACTACCCTACGATACACAAACACATGTTTATATATTAAATTTTAGTCACTAAAAAATAGATAAATAATTCTGTAAAGAAAAAAATATAACATACATATACGTACATTCCAAATGCGATTGACGCAATCAAAATGTAAGAAGTAGGATCAAAAGGATAAGAACAAAATATATTAAAACTAAAAACGGATTGCAAACCTGAATGAATTGGATTGGAGCATTAAACTCAAACGCCAAAATACTTGCATTGCGTACTGATGTTAACGAACATGAGAGTATGGACACTATTTATAGTTTACAATTAATTAATGGTTGTAGTTATTGTTCAATGAATTCAAAAACTAAATTAACTATTCATTAATAAAGTTATAATGGAGGAAGGCAACGTCAATTTTTGATAAATAGTTTTCTGAAAACTATAGTCATATTAATGCAATTATTTGAAAAACCTTTAAAATTCCAATTAAAGGCATAAAAACACGTGTCACCCTCCGGTGGAAAACTCTACTTTTATATATATAAGATAAGATGATTTTCATTATTATATAAAAATTGATCAGTCCATGCTAAGGGAACATATATATATATATATATATATTTACATTAACTAAGCGCTACAAGACTAACCAATCATAATCGAGAAAACTAAATTCAAGTTCAGACAGCTATGTATTACAAATAGTTAAATAACCATTACAAATATATATATATATGGACTAACCGGTGAGGCAAAACACACAAAAACGTTTCATTTGTCTACTCTTTCATTAAGCATACTCATATCTGATACAAACCCACCAAAGAGAAGAAGAGGAAAAAAAAACCAAACATACCAAATTTGATCTACAAACCTATACCAATATATAGTTCTTGACATTTTGATCATACCTCCCCCCTCATTGAAAGGCAAAATCAATCTTCGTCATAGCCCGTTTGGGTTTGATCTCGATCGCCTTTTTCTTGATAACGTCATGTACAATCCAACCAACGAAAGAATTAAGAATGATATGAGTCGATCTCGAGATGATCAGAAAGCGGTTAAAGAGGATCACAGTAGATGGCCTGGTGCAGAATTGTTGGAGGAGAAGCCGGGAAGGTCGGTGTTCCAAGAGTTGTTGCTTCCAACCCATGGAGGGTATTGATCATTCGTCGAATTTATGTTAATGCTCGCCAATAGGTTCCTCGACAAGTTATCCACACCGTTCTGATGATTGCTCTCTCCCGCTCTCACGTCGTCTGACTGTGTTTCCCCGCCTGGATTCATATCCATCAATGGCTTAGATCTTAGCTGATTCGTGTAACCGGTCTCTTGCTCTTGATTAATTCCTTCGTTACGTTCGAGTAATGGATACAAAACACTTGAAGATTGTTCCAGTACTGTCCCTGTCATATTGTTGATCAACAAAGGGAATTGTTGAGCTTGTTGCAGCGACAGTCTCCATGGATCCAACAAGCCACCGCTTGATGAACTCCCGGTTATTGCGTTACTCAGCTGAATTTCCCCGAAATCCAACCCGATATTACTCGTACCATAGTCTCCAAGACCTTGTAGAGGAGGCAAGATGGACAAGTTCGAGGCTAAACCCGGGATTCGGCCAATGTTAAGAAGCTTGTTAGGGTTTGAGTAACTTGTGTGAGAAGAAAGAGCCGAACTAGAGGGTGTGCTAGCTTGTTGTTGATGATGATCAGATGCAACCACGACCGTTGATTTCGACCTCGTGCCACCTCCGCCGTTGGATTTGCTCCTCTTGTTCCTCCTACACCCTCCGCCCACGGGAACGTTCCTCAGGGCACCGCCACGTGTCCAGTAGCGGCGACAGGTCTTGCAGAAGTGGCGAGGCTGAGTGAGGCTGTAGTTGTTGAAGTAGCAGAACTTGGTGTTGGTGGATTCACATCTAGGGCACTTTAGGGCTGCCTCGGGCAAAGGGATCTTCGCCAGCCGTGCTCGTTCAACCATCGGCTCCCCAGCCTGCCCCGCCGGAACGCCACCGGTCTGAGGCTCTGGTGGCGGCGGTGCCATCATGCATGGGGGAACCGGCAGCGGAAAATGGTTAGGGTTTTGATCGTTTGTGAACCCACCTGGTTGTTGGTTTCCTTGCTGCATGGTAACATACGGGTTAATGGACAATTGATTCAGTGAAAATGGTTGTAAAAGACAGGAGAGAGAATCAGAACAAGAGTTTGAAATTTGGTCGTAACCCAAAAAGAAAAAAGATAAAAATAGCTATATTTTTACGAGAAGATCAGCTTTATTTTTTATTTTTAAGAAAATGCGTAAAAGTAATAGTGAATAAAAACATAAAACTGGCAAAATAATTTTAAGCGCTGAAGAAATAGGAGAATCACTGTCAGAATAGCCCCCAAAAGAAAAACCAGACATCAAATGCTTGTCTTCGGTAATGAATGTAGATGAAGAAAACGGGAACAGCTTCCATTTAGTTCACAAAAAAAAAATAAGGAACATGGAAAAAAGAATAAGTGATTCAGGAAGATGATGATAATCTCTCTCTCTTTTTGGTATATTCGTGAAGATGAGAAAAAGGTTATACTTATTATCGCGCTTAGGAATATTATACAGGTATACTTCTCCTTATGCTTATCCCTTTTTCCACAGAATAAGAAACTGTATCTAGCAATTTTGTCAATGGCAACAACACTAAAGAACTCAAGATTTATGTATCATATACAGACATACATACATACATATATACAAACATACAGTTCGAATTTGGAGGAAATCTTGAGAGATGAAAAGGAAATAAAGCATTCACCTGTTGCCAGTTTGATTGATCAAACTGATACACCGGAAGAGATGAGAAGACCATCTTTGAATTAGGGTTTTTTAATGAGCTTTAAATGCTTCAAAACTTTGGGGCTAAGTATTCATGGGGTTCTGCAGATATGGTGGAAGATCGCATCACAGAAGAAAGGAGATCGGCAGAGAGAGAGAGAGAGAGAGAGAGAGAGAGAGAGAGAGAGAGAGAGAGAGAGAGGTGCTGAAAGAGATAAAAAGAAGAGACGGAGAGATTGTTAATTTATCTATCTTCTCTGTTTTTTTCCTCTTCCACTTTTGATCTCTATTTCTATGTTTCTCCGAGTTTCTTTTTGTTTTGATTAAATCTTTTCTTCCTCCTTTTTTTTTTATAACCTTTTTGGAATCAAGTATCACCTTCAATCTCATTTAAGTTACTTTTGCTAATATATACAAGTAAATGTCATTAAGAGTTAAAAGTTAATACACACAGTTTTAACCTAAAAAATGTACATAATTTTGGGATCGGAAATATTATATCATGCATATATATAAATATATGCACGCGCCGTGTGTGTCTATGATTAATAAAAGAAAGTTAAAAAATTACAATAAAAACTTAGCTTGTAACGAGTCTATAAATTATATATATCTCCAATTCGAGAGGGTTTTTTTCTTCCCTTTTTGGTTAAAAGATGGAATATTGTATTGGATCTACACCACATGGTATTTATTATGCATTAATAGACATAGTGTAAGAATGATATAAATAATCTAAGATTGTATTATTAATGAGAAAAAGGAGGGTTTTCTTAGCATGTAAGCTTTTTTCTTCTTTTGCATACGTTTACAGTAGTACCCAAAAAGAGATGTGGAAGGACCGAGTGGCCATGCAGAGAGAGAGAGAGAGAGAGAGAGAGAGAGAGAGAGAGAGAGAGAGAGAGAAACCCTAGGTAACCCCAAGAGATTTAAATATGAAAAGCAAAAAATGGTCGAAGAGAATAATTAGATATGAATTAAAAACAAAAAGATTTGAATAAATAAAGAAAAAAGGGTGAATTGGTAGTGGGGTGGTCTTTGGTGGAGTTGTCACAATCGAGTGTACCTTTGTTTCCCCTCGGCCAGGACCCAAATCTCGTTTCTATTATTACATATATTTATATATATATATATATATATATATAGTCGTTATTGTTTATAACTATTTATCATTGCTAATTAATATAAAAGATAGAAATTCATTATTGATTACGTTTGACATGGAGATTCATGAAGATTTGATTTTTATTTTTTGGCACCACAGGGACAGGTTTTGGGCATAGGAAAAAGCCGGTCCAAGAATAAACTTTGAAAACCTAATTAACTAAATCACGTAAACGGATGGACCCACAACCATATAAATGATATTGGTTTCCACAGAAGAAATAATAATAATAATAATAATAATCAGAATCGGTTAATTAAACTTATAAATTATAATAGATTAACGCGTCACTGTTATTGGTTTGATTCTCATGTTAGGAGGTTTTTGTATCGGTGGAGGAAGCAATTTTGGAACAAGGGAAAAGTGATTGAAAACGGAAGACGACGAACACTACACAGAGAAATCGACTAATTAATCGTTCCTTCTTTTTTCTATTCTATTATGTTTTTTTATTTGGTTTGAATTCAACCGTCTCGACAAATTGTGAGTAGTTTTATGATTGTAGGTTAAGAATTTGCTATACAAGGATCTATCCGGTTTAATTCCAAAAACTACGATATCCAATTCTAATTCGGTTTGATTGAATTATTCTTCATATTTTCGATCTTATTGATCTGCTTAGTTGATTGATCATAGGATTTGATTTGCATAGAGATATGAAATTAGGTTTGGAACATGTTTTTCAAATAAATTGATTGTCACATTAGGAGCTGTATTAATTGTTTAGTAATTATAATAACAATCGTTTATAATTTAGGGTTTTGACTTGTTTAATGAGAAGATTGATAGGCTGAACTTTTAGTAATTATAAATTGATTGTCACTATTTTTGTGCTTGAATTTCTAGAATCGGATTTATAAATTATAGAATATGTATAGTGGAAAAGATCCTTGAATGTTAAGCAATTTTGAAGCTTGCAATGTCTACTTTTGATCCATTAATTATTAGTATTAATTTTGTTATTTTCTACATTTTTAACTAATTATTCTATCACCCAATTATTTCTAGATTGAGTTTCAAGTAAATTTCTAGTTTTTTTTCTCTTTGTATTCGACCCTACTTAATACGATCCATACATTTGCTATGGTTGCATCTAGGTTAAAAATAACTTCACCATTGTTAAATATAATTTATTTAAGAGGTGAATTTAGAAAATAATTTGATTGAAAATGATATAAAAAAAAATAAAAGATTTTTGAGAAAATAAATATGAAACATATAACATCAGAGATCACCGATTATTTTTAAATTTATTAACGAAATAAATATATGTCTTATTTTATCTAGGTGATCTATCAGCTCTTAACTCGATCTATGTATATATGATGATGCATCAAATAATTAAGACGATAAAGCGACAATTTCTTAAAGATTATTTTTTTTTTGTTTAAGATTTGCTTCCGTAACTGCAACTGAGTATTCAAACTCAAAATAAGGTGTTGGAGTTTGTAAAATTTGTAATATATGTATTTCACGAAAATTTTGATTGATTATCAAAATATAATACTTCAAATTATATGCATAGGCTAACCAATTTTTTTTATGAGAATACTAACATAATTAAAATAAAAGATCATATATATATATATATATATATATATATATATATATATATTACTCATGTCGTCTCATGAAGACATCTTACACATTGAATCGTACGTGTGATGCTGTAATAATACATGTACATTGATTTCCAAATAGTTAATTACTGGCTAGATATATAGCCAAGAGAATAACTATGTACGATAGAGGTTTGATATAATATATATATATATATATATATATATATATATATATATATT